GCGTGAGCCGGTTCTCCGCGCGGTTCAGGTAGAGCGAGATCTTGAGGCCGCGGTCCACGGGCATGCCGTCGTGGAACATCTCGACGGCCTCCGTGTAGAGCTCCTCGGCGGAGATGGCCTCGTCGAAGGGGAAGCGGTTGTCCGGGTCCAGCGACGCCGCGTACGCGAGGTTGCCCTCCGCCTTGCGCGCGAGGCAGAACTCCTGGATCGTCGTCGACGACACCTGGGGGTTCGGCGGGCTGCCCTTGTAGGCGCGCCAGGCGCGCTTCTGGAACGGCGGGCTCAGGTCGTCCGTGAAGCACGCGTACAGGATGTGCGCGCGGTCGTCGACGTTCTCGACGACGGCCCAGCCCCGGGACCCGCCGTTGATCTTCTCGCGGCGCAGCATGATCTTCTTGTGGAGCGCGTGGACGTAGACGGGCGCGTCGTTCCACTCGTCGTAGACGTTGAAGGCCTCGCACCACTCGTCGGGCCGCGTGTCGTCGCCGAGGCGGTCGCGGCCGCGGCAGCAGACGAGGCGGCAGTACTCGCCGTTCGCGCGCTTGTCGCCGGCGCCGAAGACGTGGAGCTGGTGCATGACCTGCTCCGGGTCGCGCGACGCGTCGTCCCAGTCCGGGTCCCACTTGGACTTTAAACACGCGCACGCCTCCCGCTTCCGCTCCAGAGCTTCCAAAATCGCGGGCTCGAACTTGAGGTCGCGCGCGTTCTCGAGGACCATGGCGATCTGGTCCGGGTTCACGCAGAAGCCCTGGCCGCCGTAGGAGATGTCGCTGTCGTCGCCGCGGATCGCGAGGCAGTGCGCGAGCGTCTCCCCTCTTTTCCGCACGCGCGCGGCGCGCTCGCGGCCGACGTCGACGTCCTTGTGGCCCGCGAGCATGTCGGCGACGGCGCGCACCTCCTTGATGTCCGTGCACTTCTCGCACTCCTCGCAGCAGAGCACGAAGGTGTGGTACTTGATGCGCGCCTCGGCGCGCGTCACGAGCTCGTGGCCCTCGATCGACGGCTGCGACAGCGCGGCCTTCTTGCCCTTGTCCGCGTAGATCTTCAGCTTGACCTTGTTGTCCGTGCGGAGGGCCGACGCGAGGCGCACCCACGTGGCCCGGTAGTGGGGCGGCGCGCGGAGCGCGAAGCAGTCCAGATCGTCCGGGAGCCGCAGCTTGGTTTTGAGCGCGAAGCCCGCGACGGGCGCGACCGTCGTCGCCCAGGTCGCGTCGCCGTCGTCGACGGGCGCGGCGGCGACGATGGGCTCGCCGTCGCCGTCGAAGGCGACGGCCGCGGGCGGCGCGGCCCGCGCGAGGGGCCGGCCGTCGCCGTCGACGGCGCCCTCGAGGCCGAACGTGGAAACGACCTGGACCCGCCCGTGGCGCGCCACGGACCCGACGGCGGCGCTCGCCTCGTCCTTGGCGGCGAAGATCGTCGCGCTCGAGGCTTTGACGAAGACCGTGCCGGACGGCCACGCGCGGACGCCGAGCGCCTGCGCGGCGCGCGTCGCGGGCACGCCCTCGAACTCCTTGCGCACCGCCGCCGAGAGCACGGCGCCGATGGACGCGACGCCGCCGGCCGGGCCCTCGTCCTCGCTCGACTCCGAGCCGCCGTCGTCGCCGAAGTCCACGTCGGGCACGTCGCCGGCGTCCCCGGCGGCGGCGGCCTCGTCGGCGGGCGCGGCGGCGGCGCCGCCGTCGCTCTCGTCGTCGTCGTCGTCGTCGTCGAGGAACGCGATCTCCACGGAGTCGTCGTCGGCGTCCTCGACGTCGACGGCCGCTGCCGGCGTCTCGCTTTCCATAGACGACTTCTCCATTGCCACAGCCACAGATCGCATGGGCTCGCTAGCGCCGCGCAGCCCCCCGTGGCCG